AAATAAATGATATATTTTTGAAACTTATTTTAAAACGGGGTTCAAAATTTTGCTATACTGTCTAGCTGTAAGCTTTAATATTTTTTCATATTTGAAAATTCGGCATTTTTGGCAATTTTTGTTGCGTAATTGTTGCCATATCTAAAGGTCAAATGAGCCGTATAGTATATCAAATTAATACATTAGTCGTGCACTATAAATAGGTGTTATCATAATACTGAGTTTTCTAGAGGTTAAGTTTTTTGAGACCTAACATCTACNAAATGAGCCGTATAGTATATCAAATTAATACATTAGTCGTGCACTATAAATAGGTGTTATCATAATACTGAGTTTTCTAGAGGTTAAGTTTTTTGAGACCTAACATCTACCAACATCTACCATAGACGTAACACTAATTAATCTACACATTATTCTAATAATTAGTCTAAAATACAATAAAATTAATATACAAATTAATTATAATTAATCTCTGCAATGATTTCGTTGATTATACTCTAAAAATTTCCGTTAATTTTATTGATTTGCTATACATTTAACTTTTATGTAAATACTTTTGATTCATTTCCATAGGATCCTTTATGTAGATACTTAAAATTCATAGTGTATATAAACTTAAACATAATAAAAATAAGATTCAAAATATTATAAAAACCAATATGTAAAATAATTTAGAAATAATAGTATTGTAAAGATTTTATAATCCATAATTGCAATAGTGAATTGTGGTAATAGATAAACGTTTTTTTACGTTACTAATACTTTATATTGTTATATTATATTTTATGTTATCAAATGTATAACGATTATCATGTGTATTATAATCGTCTCTAACAATTTGTTAACAACCAAACCATGTATACAATCATAAGTTGTTAATAAATATTTCCCCATAATTTTATATTTAATGCTATTTTTTATTACAATATAAGATATGTTTAATAGAATAAAAATGTCGTTTCAACAAAACTTATTGAGTTATTTTATGATAGATGCATATTTTTCTATTTCTATATAATTAGAATTCACATTAAAAACATTTACTTCCATTAATTCACTCACTTTAGTTAGGAATGATAAGAACATATTATTTTCATTGTATATTTAAACAGTTTATACATTTTAAATATAGTGGTGGAAATTATGAAAACAGGTTTAAATTTGTAATACATATTTCATACTAAAATACATTTACTCAAACTTCCCTTGGCGAAATCCTTAATATACGAAACACTTTATACCTACCTCCAGCCATACCTTATAGAGAAGTTACATTTATAATTATAATTTAGTTTATTAATGTTTCTAATACTTTCTCTCTCTCTCTCACTTTTATTTCTCTCATGGTTATAATCAGGTATCGGCATGTTGAAATGTAGTTGTAAATAGTGAGTACTGTATGCGTTATAAATGCTAAATCTGAACCTTTGGAAAGGACTTTGCTAAAGGACTTTCTAAGACGATGTAATTTTGTCATGTGTAAAACAGTTTCTTAAAATTCATATGGAAATTACACTATTATAATTGTTATATACATAATTTATAATAGTTTAGGTTTGTCAGTTTAAACAAGAAACACCACGTGAAGGTCAACCTAATAGTTTCTCGCCCATTTTTATAAGTGGTTGGCTTTCAGTCTATCCACATTATTCACCACTCATTTTTTAGAGAAAAATAGAGGCCTAAAACTTAAATTTAAAAAAAGATTTATTTGATTTAAAGTCTTGAAATCGTAGTTCAAATTGAGAAATCAATTCATCCATCAATTGAATAACATTATTATATGTGTTGAAGTCAGTGTTGTTGTTGCTGTTTATCACTTGTTGAATGCAAGCAAAATTGGTGAAATCGAATTCAGTGTTATAATTAAATGGTGAGGCAACGGGAAAATAACATCGAATTGTTGTTAATAATTTTAACAAATCTTCAATCACTGTAAATTGTTTAGTTATTGAAGTATCTGTTTCCATTATTTGAAGTTTATTGTTATTCAACAAGACAGTAATGTCTGTTAAAAAAGCTAATTCAAAGTAAAACTGTTTATCATTTGCAATTAAATGGACATTTGTGTCACGAATTGGTTTTTTCACTTCGTTGTTGAAAAACTTATTAATTTGATCAAATAACTTAAAAAATCGCTCTATACATTGTCCTCGACTAAGCCACCGAATATGACTATAATTTAAAACATCAGAATACTCTGAGTCAATTTCTTTCAAGAATTTCCGAAAACACCGATGAGTCAAAGCGTGTTTCTTGTTCTTAAGTTTATTGACAGTCTTTACAACAGTTTTCATAATGTTTTCGATCGATGCACTTTTTCCGCACAGTTCTTCTTGATGTATAACACAATGAAAATGCTGTAATTTGTTAGAAGTTTCGTTATCGATATAATTCTTCAGTCGAGTTACTGCTCCGATGTTGCAGCCGACCATACTTGGAGCGCCATCTGTTGTAATCGACGATAACTTATTGATATCTAAATTGTTTTTATCAATCGTTTCTTTAATTTTTTCAAAGATTGCGGCTCCAGTTGTGTTAGTTTCTAACGATAACAAATCCAACATTTCATTTGTTTCACTGCAATCAGATTCAATTCCTTTTATGTAAATTGCCAATTGTGCCTTATCAGTGCAATCGGTGCTCTCATCAAACGCAAGAGAATATTTCTCAAATACTTTTGATTTTAATTGTTCAGTCATCTCATTAGCGATTTCATCCACACGAGTTGCAACACTTTGTGGTGAAATTGGTAATGTTTTCATAATTTGACCCAAATCGTATGGCAACAGATGATCCGCAACAGACGTTAAGCATTTTATAACCAATTCGCTTACTTCGAAAGGATATGGGGATTTGGCGATATGTTGAGCGATTTCGTAAACGACACGAAGCTTTGAGTTGTTAGAAATTTCTTCAGTCAATGATAATGAACTGGTAGACATTTGTGATGACACAACACTTGTCGATGGTTGTGATGACAATTCCATTGCACTGGTATCACAGTCTTGTTCTGGTTCTGAGTCAGGTTCTTCACACTTACGACGCTTTTTAGCTTCTATTAGTGTATTCATCACTTCGGGACTCAATTGAGAATGATTTGTTTCGTGGTGTTTTTCAAAAACCTCAGTTTTGAATTTTTTCGGTTTGAACTCGCACAAACCACAATACCATTTTGGTTTAGTCTGATGTTTGAAAAAATACAAATCGTTTTCCTAATCGCGATTCCGCTTACGCCCGCCTTGCCTTGCTTTGGGCGGCATTGTGTTATTAGTTTATTAGCACTAAAAGTAGCAATAATGTTATTAATCAAAAATCAAGTATCGTCACATGAAATTCAAATGTTAACACATGATAATCAAGTGTTAATACATGATATTCAAGTGTTAACACATGATATTCAAGTGTTAACACATGATAATCAAGTGTTAACACATGATAATCAAGTGTTAACACATGATAATCAAGTGTTAACACATGATAATCAAGTGTTTTTTCTTAACGATTGAATGCACGAATGCATACAATCGAAAAGTGGGCTTTAATTCAGGTAACCTGATAATAATTTAGGTTACCATACACGCCCGAGTCCTCTAGACCATTAAAGAAGCCGCTAAGGGTTTTTAGCTAATGTCGGTCGTCAGTCGACAATAGCCTACTGGCCCTACTCTGGATTTAGTTGAGGGGGCCGTACATGCCCCATTCTTGCTCTCAACTAAACCACTATAGCTGTACGGTCGTGGCTGCCTGGCCTGGTCATCCCGTAGTCATGGCTCTGTGCAGCATTGGTCTGTCATTGGAGTATTGTTGAGTGATGATTTTATTATGACAATATTATTAAATTATTAATATTAACAAATTTTTTTAATTTACCTCACAAATTAATAATTAAAACTAATGAGCACTATATTTAGACACAATGTATATTAAATATCATAAATAATCAATTTATGACAAATTATTAATTAATTATTAACAATTAATTAATTGTTTTAATTATGAAAATATATGTGCAAAAATACAAACACAAAAACAAACAACAAATGAATTTGTAAACAATTATTGTCTGTTCAATGCATGTTCTCTTCATATACCACGTTACATTATTTGTGACAATATAATTTACACTGTAACATAAATGATGCCCAAAGGTTCGTATTTAGTAGTTATAAATATAGCGATTTATAGACAGATTCTTATTTGATAGCATTAGTCATGCTATAACTAAAGTATAACCTCACTATACAAAAGTGGCCCACCAGTGGCTCCTGGGCCGATTGATGGTTATAATTACTGATTAATTTATGCAATTTACTGTACAATATAAATCAATATTAATATTAAAAAGAGGTTGTTATCAAACATTATTAACCAAAAATTTATTTTATAAATTGTTATCTTACTGCTAATCAATTATACACAAATGTTTGTTTTAACGCAGGTATTAATCCAATTATTGGTTGTTATGAAATGTATGGCAATTATCATGTTTTGTGTTCGTCTCTAACAACCAAACACTGTATTAAATCATTTAATAATACAATCATATAAATATATAATTGCAATATTAAAATCATGTTAAGTACAAAATAAATAATTTTAATTATGAACAACGGATTAATGAAATTTAGTAATTATAATTTATTACATTTTACAACAATATTAATATTCTAACTCGTTGTGAAGCTATGTAACATATGTTATTAATAATAAGTTATTAATTTATTATAATATAATAACTTTTTATAACTTTTAATTAACATTTAATGTTTGAGTTTTAAATATTGATTAATTTGTGCTAAAATTCCATTATTGTTATGACAAGAAACCAAATTAATTAATGTTTTCAATGATTCTTTTAATAAGAACATTTATTGTTTGTGACAACTGGTGATCGGGTCTATGGGTTGGGCAGTAATGTGATAACATATACGCCATTATTATTACGAAATGTTTATAATATAAGAGTTGTCTACAATATAAAAAGTCATTATCTTATTATGTTATCTGTATTAGTATGACAGTTACTTAATAATAATATAATCTTACAAGTGGTATGTACAGGGATTGACATGTAAAATTGTTATAGTAAATAGTCAATACTGTATGAGTAATAAGTATACGATTTATTGGCATTTATATTTGATAGCATTAATAATGCTTTTACTAAAGTATAACCTCACTAAACAATTGTGGCTCTAGAGTGGCTCCTGTGGGTATACCTAGTTATGTACATCAAGATTTTATTATGATAAACAATCTATTGTTTAATGATCTTGCTTTCTTGAATAATGATAGTTTTAATTAGAATAAATAGTTACTATGTTATGTTTGTTATAATTACAACATTTACTAATAATGTCTGAAATTTTGAATAAGTTTGAAATCTGTGCCAAAATTCCTAACGATTTGAGTAAAAAAATTAAATTATTTCATATTTTTTGTGATTACTTAAAGTCAAAGAAAAGAAATATATTGTTTGTGACGACTAGTGATCGGGTCTATGGGTTAGGCATTAATAACGATGGAGTGTTGGGTTTGGGACACAACCGACCCATACATAAACCCGAAGAAGTCATACAATTAAGTCATAATAATATACAACAATTTTTCAATAAATATCGTTTTGGATTGGCTTTAAATAATGATCGACAGTTGTTTTTCTGGTGCGGCTATTCTTCATATACTAAACCGCACAAAATATTATTATGCGAATCACTTGATATACGTATTGAGAAAATATCATGTTTTGAATCTACAGCTATTGTCCTCACATCCGATGGACGGGTATTTCAATTAACGGATAATTCAGAGGAAACACAAAAACAAATTGAATTACAATTTCCCGATGAATACAAAATTGTGGACATTATGTGCTCTTGGGATACGGCATTTGCCATTACATCAAATGGACGAATATTTATTTGGGAGAATGACAATGAAATAAATGAAAAATTGATTGAAAATGTTCATAATATAAGAGTTGCATTTTATAAAGGTCTTAATATTTCAATCATGTTATCAAATGATAAACATGTTTATATGTATGACAACAGTTCTAAGGAAATCAAACTAATCAGCCGAAATTTATTATTTAATGACCTTGTACAAATATCAACACACAAATATGATTTAAGTAAAGTCGTTGGAATTAGTGGTCAAAAGGTTTACGAGTTTAACAAAAATTTTATTGAAACAAAATATACAACATTTGATGATTACTTCGCTAATGAATATCAAATGACTTATAAAACAATTGATATCACAGAACATATGGATTGTGTCATTACACCCAAATCAATAGAAAAATATGGTAATATCATATATTATTTTTAATTTATAAAAAGAAAATGATCTATTATTTAATATTTTAGAAACCAATTATGAATTAAATAACATAGAAATGTATGACTACTTGGAAACGTTAGGATCGGGTGGTTTCGGAGATGTGTTTAAAATGAATGCTAAATATAGTGGAAACATATTTGCAATTAAAAAATGTCAATTATACAGTAATATATTATTAAAGAATGTTTTTATAAAAATTATACTAAATAAATATTTTATATTAAGGTTTGACAAAAAATCATAAACAAAATGTTTTGAAAGAAACGCAACAATTAGTAAAATTGCGCTCAGAATATGTCATTCAATACTATAATTCATGGATTGACAACAATTTTCTGTATATTGTTATGGAGTGTTTGGCCGGAAATTTAACACAACTATTAGAAAATAAGAAACAAATATTTAAAGAAACAAAGAAACAAACAATGATTTCTTATTTTGAATATTACATATCATATGAAATATTCCAACAATTGGTCGAAAGTGTGGAGTATTTGCATAAAAATAATATCATTCACAGAGACCTCAAACCCGATAACGTGTTGATTGCCAACAATAGTTACAACAAAACTAATTATCGATATATAAAGTTATGTGACTTCGGTTTGTCTAAAGAAGTGGATGTATTGAGTGATCGATACAATCAAACCAATGTTAACCACACCGGAGGTGTCGCCCAATATATGGCACCCGAAGCACAGTTTGGCACCGATTATAACCACTTAATAGATGTCTATAGTCTGGCACTCATTGGAGCGAAAATATTTGGTTTCGATTCCGACGATATCAGAGATGGAGTGTATGTTTTTATTAATATAATTTATAAAAACAAAATATAAAGTTGATTATAATCAATTTTATATTTTCAGATTAAATCTTAATTTTGAAAATATTCTTAATGCAAGTCTTGGGATAAAAATGGTTGAAATGTACAAATTATTGCTATCAATGAGTGTTAGTGTATATACAAAGAGTTATGGAAAGACTGATTGGAGACTAAGACCCGAATGTGACGTAATTTTACATAAATTACAAGATTTATCGATTAAACGGATTGTCGAGAAAATAGATTTATATTTAATTAATAATTTACGACCAAATAATTTTGAATTATTTTATGACTATTGTTTTAATTTCCACATTTGGATTATTTGCCAAACATGTGATCAAAATAATGGTAAATAAATATTATTTTTCCATTTTAAATGCTTTTATATTAATCTGCAATTGTTATAGAAATCACATCATTTTCCAAATCTTTTGAAATACAATCCCATGGATTTCATTTATTTTTCCGTAAAGGGTATAATCAATTTAGTCATAATAAATTAATAAAAGTAAAGCATAATATGAATAAAAAGCACTATTATATAATGAAGTATGCATGTAAAGGTAAGTGCTATTGTATAAGTATTAAATTAATGTAATATACTGTATTATATCGTTTTTAAAAATAATATTTTTAAATTCCATTATTTGTACTTTTACTGTCAAATAGTGTTGATTACATTAGTTGAAAGTTTTATTTTATTACAATTTCTGATCAAACTATAATTTTAATGTGCCTAAGTATATATAATTTAATTTAACAATTATATGTTGTTTTCTTAGACGATTTTAAATCAATTAAACACATTGTGGCAAATATTAGGAAAATATTTGAATTTAATTCTCAATATTTACTTCAAATATATAACTCTTGGAGTGAAAACTTTGAGATTTACATTCAATGGGAATATTGTCCGACAACTCTATGGAATGTCATACATGAAAAACATGTGATATTTGAGACACAGACCCATCACTCGTTGGCAATGATTTCAATTGATTTTCTTATTTCACAGCAATTGTTGAAACAACTATTTTATTGTATTCAAGAACTGATTGATTTGGATATTAATATTTCAGACATTTTATTCTCTTCAAACAATATTTTTATTACAAATGATTTTATAATTGGTAAACATCATATGAAATTTCGTTGCAATCCTAATAACGGTTTTTATAATGATATGACTAAAACATTTATTACAAATGCTAAATTTTTGGCAATTAATAAAATCGGAAAAATTGTGATCAAATTGTTTGAAATACAAATAAACCATATAAAGTATAAATATTTATTTATTATATTTAAAGCAATTTTATAATTATTAATGAATAATAATCCATAAAATTTTTAGTAATAATATTGATTACAAGTCATATATTTTGGATAATTTTGGTCTAAATATGGATAAATTTTATGAATTTATTAATCGACTAATCGTGGAATCAACGGATATGTTAGACAATGAATTAGAGAAAGAATCAGAAGAAAAAAATCAAGATATAAAGGATATAATTAATAAATTCAATGATATTTTTGGTTATAATTTACATAAGATTAACGCAAATATAATATCAGAAATAGAAAATGAATTTTTAACACAAATCCATATATTTCAAGAAGAATCCCTATTTTGTGATTATTTCAAAGTTATACTTATACATCAAAAACAGTAATGAATTGCTTTATTAAAATAACTAATAAACAAATTACAACTATCATTATATTATATGTTTTAATAGGTTTACCCAAACCATTGATTCTGGTTGTGAGGCACAGGCAAAGCGACCACACATTGAGAGCACCGGTATATCATTGCCAACATCTAATCCATTGCTGGCTAGCGTTACGGCAACGGAAAGTGAAGAGCAAACCCGCGCCCAGTAAGTATAGCACTGTTTATATACGATAACAATATTATTGAGTTGCCATAAATAATAAGTTATGTTGAAACAATTATACACAGGCTTCATCACACCAGGTATTCAAATCGAAGGTTTATTCAGTTTAGTAATAAATCCATAAATTTTATTGACATTTACTTCAAAAGTATCCAAAATACTGTATATGTCTGGTATTAGTATAGGACTGTTGTGTCCAAAACCCAGACATCCTCTCTGTAACCGAAACTATAAATCATATCATTATTTGTAACAAATATTACATTATATCCATAAGCATTATCAGTAAAAACCAATTATTCAGAGGCTTCTGCACACCAAGTATCCACATATAGTGTATATAACCGTACAAATTGACATTATTTCACAGGTTATACTATGCCACATCAAGTTTAAATATGATTCATTGTAGTTTATACTGAAAATATAAGTTTTAGGAGTGAGAGTAATAATACATGTATGTAGGTATGTAGGTACATGTAGTATATAAATGCTTTATCTTAATTTATAATAATCATATTTGAAATTGATGTGGCATAATATCACTGGTCAATAATGTCATTTTTACGGTAATATACACTATATGTAGATACCTGGTGTGCAGAAGCCTCTGAATAATTGGTTTTTGTAATAATGCTTATGGATATAATGTATTATTTGTTACAAATAATAATATGGTTTATGGTTTCGGTAATAATAGGAGAGGATGTCTGGGTTTTGGACACAACACTCCTATACTAATACCAGACATATACAGTATTTTGGATATTTTTGATGTAAATGTCAATAAAATTCATGGATTTATTACTAAACTAAATAAACCCTCGATTTTCCATAAAACAGATACAAAGGATATAATGAATGAATTCAATGATATTTTTGGTAAAAATGCAAACCAAATAAACGCTAATATAATTTTACGGATTAAAAGTATAATTCTGTGGCGAATCCTTATATTTAACAAAAAATCAATTGATTATAAGTTCATTTTTTAATTACTATATAAAAATTTATAAAGCACATAGATTTAATACAATAATGCAAAACAATATATTAATGATAATTATTTATGTTTACTGTAAAGTATACTTTACAACATGTTAACATTTAGTGACATTTATAAATATTATAGTTTATCTAAAAACTATAGTTATTATCATACATTGTATGAAATTCATTGTATTAGTTCCATTCACTTTCATTGATTATAACATTTGCTATCAAAATTTTGTATTGAAGTGTTTATTAATACAATTAATATAAGAGATTTTAACTGAGATTTTAATTTCAATAAAGAAAATATTAGTTATTCACTACATTTTCAAAAATTATATATTAATATATAAATTTTTAATAAGGATTTTATGTTTTAATAGTTTTTTATTGCTTTTATAATTGTAATAATTGTTATTGTTTTAAAAATGTGTGAATTATTAGAAAAATTTAAAATTTGTGATAAAATTCCAATAAATATTAGAGAAAATATTACAAAATTACATGTTTTTATTAACCGGGATAAAGAAAGTAATGCTTTATTATATATTAAAAATATTACCACTTAAAATAACATTGATTAAAATAACAAATTCATGGTCAAATTGATGACTCATCAATATATCTATTAAAAATTAAAGATAACATTCATTGTTTTTGTTCATACATTATATAGCCCCACCCCCACTAATCGGGAGATTGTACTAGTTAATATTAAAATTATTATCACTCAATTGATTGTTGTGATCACAAATCAATACATTTATTATTCTAACTAAATAAAATACGCAAAAAAAAGCGTTACATGGGTGTGAATGGGGTGAATGTATTTGAAACACATAGAGGGGGATAGACAACAGAAATGGGGGAGGAGTGGATAACAGAGTTTGTGAGCAATTTGTGAATGTCAATGTTTATATCTATATAACTAAAACACAAAATAACATTACTGTCTATGAGGCCCATACAAAATAGGGAGCAGTACGGGGGAGATATTCAAATTATGTGTAACATTAATTGTGAGTATTGTAGGAGAGGTGAGGGGATTATATGGAAAGTGATTGCACTTTACATTCAATCATTACAAAAACATTACTATAACTTCTATTACTCCGAGTTATTATTTAGCTAGTAGTTTTAGCTTTAGCTTTTAGCTTTAGCTAAACACTTCATAGTTAGTAAATTTTTAATAAACTTATAATATTATAAACTTTAAATGGCTGAGTACGCTAGTTATATTTATTAGTGGCGCTCAGCGTCGACGGTTAGACCGCCGACAGAAGGCTGAAGGCGCGCCGGCATTGGGCGCTAGTCGCCGGTGGTAAATGCAAGTGACGTTCAGTTGTCGGCGGTTAGACCGTCGACAAAGGACTGAAGGCGCGTCTGCATCGGGCGCTAGTCGCCGAGTGTTGGGCAGGAGGTGCTCAGTCGTCGGCGGTTAGACCACCGACAGAGGGACTGAAGGCGCGCCTGGCATTGGGCGCTAGTCGCCGGTGATGTTTGGGCAGGAGGCGCTTAGCCATCAGCGGTTAGACCGCCGACAAAAGACTGAAGGCGCGCCGGCATATGGCGCTAGTCGCCGGTGGTAAATGCAAGTGACGCTCAGTCGTCGGTGGTTAGACCGTCGACAAAGGACTGAAGGCGCGTCTGCATCGGGCGCTAGTCGCCGGTGATGTTGGGTGGGAGACGCTCAGTCGTCGGCGGTTAGACCACCGACAGAGGACTAAAAGCGCGTCTGGCATTGGGCGCTAGTCGCCTGTGGTAAATGCAAGTGACGCTCAGTCGTCGGTGGTTAGACCGTCGACAAAGGACTGAAGGCGCGTCTGCATCGGGCGCTAGTCGCCGGTGATGTTGGGTGGGAGACGCTCAGTCGTCGGCGGTTAGA